GTAAGATAACTAAGCCTACTTCTGTTATTTCTCTCATCATTCTCAGAAAAACTTCGGCTGATTTATAAAGCTAGTTTTATATTTCGACAAGTTCTGAAATCTAACCCGGTACGATTAAAGTTTCAGTTCGCAACACTATCTAAGTATAAATATAAGCACTTTTCGTATCTTTTACCGGAAAACAAAATCAAGATCGATAATTTATTTACGCGAATATGTAAGACGTACATACAATACATACAGATTATCTAATTATTATCATACGGATTAGTTTGTATGCGCGCGAGTGGAAGCGAGCCGACCAGTTCGTGACGTCAGAGAATACGTGTTCATTGTCGCACGAGAATTCTATCTTACTTCGTTCCTTTATAAAATCATAAAATAAATACATTAATTTTCTGGAAATAGGCTTTTAAAAAGCGCTTTTACATATTCCAGTATTACTTTACGCCTAACACTGCTCTGAAGATTCACTGATAAGGGTGGAAAAATGGGAAGAAATCGTAGCCAATACATCCCCTCCAAACGGGACTATTCCCACCTCTCGTTCCCACCGCTGCAATTCCAATGTAGCCAGGTCCAGGATCTACAGCTTGACCGCCAATAAAGACCCAACCAGGCCATCCTCAAGCCTACCACTGCACTGAAGATATACCTACACTACTGAGAGCCCATTAACAGCTGTTGTCAGTTGACAACATTGTCACCACCTCCAGTACCTACATCACAATTGGGAATTTGGACCGTCCCTTTCAGCCAAATGACGTCCAATTTGGGGATGTGGGGAATTTGATCTGAGCAATCCTAGCGCCATTATTGTATCGTGCGTGTGCACTCATGAATAATTTGGCGTGTACCGATAACACTGAAACATTAGCGGAAGAATGGTGGGGCGCGTCTTCGTGGAACATATTACGTCTTCCGATCGCTGTCGATTACAAAAACTAATCATCACCATCGTCATCATCTCAGCCATAGGACGTCCACTGCTGAACATAGGCCTCCCCCAATGCTTTCCATGTTACCCGGTTGGTAGCGGCCTGCGTCCAGCGCTTTCCTGCTACCTTTAAGATGTTGTCAGTCCACCTTGTGGGTGGACATCCCACGCTGCGTTTTCCGGCACGCGGCCTCCACTCCAGGACCCATCGGCCATCAGTTCTGCGTACCATGTGCCCTGCATATTGCCACTTCAGCTTGCTAATCCATCGGGCTATGTCAGCGACTTTAGTTTGTTTACGGATCTCCTCATACAAAAAGAAATATCACAATGGAAACGCGCACTAACACACACATGTGCCACTGTTTATACACCACTCCAGCCACATAACCTTCTCTATCACAACTAGTTAAGGTTCATTTTCAATCGACACATCCTTTCATAACAGTTATCATTTGTCAAAGCGATCAGTTTTAGCACGTGCGTCTATCGATACGCAGTTGTTGTTACTGCAATATCGCTAATTTTTATATAAAAATCTGTATAATTCATATAAAAATCAGTCGCTTTTTGCCAGTTGGAGGTTGCAGTGAAGTTTGTAGTGGTAAAAAGTTTTTATGTCAGTGTTATAAGTAGACTACTTCATCAATCAAGGTTAGCAATAGGAAAACGGTAAGTCATTTATTTTGTTTACCTACTTCATTTAACGCGCCCGTATTTAAATGGTGATCTAAACTTGACTCAAACTTAGTAGATTCTACCCTGTGATTGGTCTACTAACTTACCTAAATATTGAAATGGCAATGCCAGATTTTGTATGGAAAGTGGCGTCTTTTTTTTTTCGCGCAGCCATCGACCAAACTTTGTTTTTTGATTACAAAATAGAGTAATAAACCAAACTTACTATGGCATGACCTCTAAACTCAGTCTGAAGAACTGAGTTACGAGCATTAGAAGTTTGATGATTTTCATACTAGATTTGCTTTTTGTGTGCAAGTTTTGTAAGAAATTGCAGCAAAATATTGCGCTATTTTTTTATTGCGCTGATTCTGCTCCATACTGATGTCTGGAGCCTTTAATGGATGGTATTGTTTGTTTACACATACAATCTCACTATTTTGTTGCAATTTCTTACAAAACTTTGCGCGAAAAAAGCAAATCTAGTATGAAAATCATCAAACTTCTAATGCTCGTAACTCAGTTCAGACTGAGTTTAGAGGTATACATGCCATAGTAAGTTTGGTTTATTACACTATTTTGTAATCAAAAAACTAAGTTTGGTCGATGGCCGCGCGAAAAAAAAAAGACGCCAATTTCCGGCATTGTCNCACTTGGATATATGCTATTCACCCTAAAGCCTGGTGGTGGACAGGCTTTAGCAAACAAACAAACTCTTCAACTTTACAATATTAGATATTAGTAAGCCTACAGATTTATAAATGGAAAAAATGCAAATCTATCATCGCTTTACAATTGCTACCTCATTGCAATCATTGCTAATAGACAATGTCAAGACAATTGACATCCGATGCAGCGCAACGATTTGATTGGTCTAAAATTACCGAGCATAATTTATTTGAAGCATTGAACAAAGTATGCGCCCATAGAAACTGACAAATGTACCATCCTAGAAAACCTGAATCAGACATGAGGAGATCCGTAGGAGAACCAGAGTGACTGACTTAGTCTGCAGAATCGCTAAAATCAAGTGGCAGTGGGCGAGGCACATAGCTCGTAGAGAAGATTTCCGTTGGGGCAGAAAAGTTCTCGATTGGCGACCACGGGACGGAAGACGTATCGTGGGCAAGCCTCCCACTAGGTGGACCGACGATCGCGGGAAGAACCTGGATACGGGCAGCGCAGGACCGGTCATTATGGAAATCCTTGGGGGAGGCCTTTGTCCAGCAGTGGACGTCATAAGCTGAAACGAACTAATGAAAATATTTCCAAAATTGACATTTACTTGTATATTGGTACGAACCAATAAGTATTCGTAGCTTTATTTCTTAGGCATACTTACTGATACAATGTCCCTGAACTTTTTAATCAAGTAATTCGGGGTATTGAAGTTAGATAAGCCTACTTCCGTTATTTCTAGCGTAAGCCTCTCAGCATTCTCAGAAAAACTTCAGCTGATTTATAAAGATAGTTTTATATTTCGAAAAGTTCCTAAACAGCTTCGCATCGAGTCGCTGGCGAAATGTTATTCCAGCTAAATAATACTCGCTGAAGAAACTCTTTTCTTTTAGTGTAGACACTAAATGTATAAGTCCACTATTGCATGCCGTGGCAACCTATAATTAAGGCAGCACTTAGATTAAGTTAAATACGTTGTAAATATTGATTGTCTTCCAGTGTATGTCTTGTTGGTTGTCCTATTAAATAAATAAAATAAATAAAAGTTCTGAAATCTAACCTGGAACGATTAAAGTTTCAGTTCGCAACACTATCTAAGTATAAATATAAGTCCCAATCATCATAATTCAGCACTTTTCGTATCTTTTACCAGAAAACAAATCAAGATCGATAATTTATTTACGCGAATATGTAAGACGTACATACAAAACATACAGATTATCTAATATTATCATACGGATTAGTTTGTATGCGAGTGGAAGCGAGCCGACCAGTTTGTGACGTCAGAGAATACGTGTTCATTGTCGCACGAGAATTCTATCTTACTTCGTTCCTTTATAAAATATCATAAAATAAATAAATTTATTTTCTGGAAATTGGCTTTTAAAAAGAGCTTTTACATATTCCAGTATTACTTTACTAACACTGCTCTGAAGATTCACTGATAAGGGTGGAAAAATGGGAAGAAATCGTAGCCAATACATCCCCTCCAAACGGGACTATCCCCACCTCTAGTTCCCACCGCTGCAACTCCTGTGTAGCCAGGATCTACAGCTTGACCGCCAATAAAAACCCAACCAGGCCATCCTCAAGCCTACCACGCTGAAGATATACCTACACCATTGATAGCCCCATTGACAGCTCTTGTCAGCTCAGCTGACAACATTGTCACCACCGCCAAAGTCACAAGTCATATTGGGAATATCCCATCGTTCGTCTCGAAGCCAAATGTTTGTCTCGAAGCGCTGGTAGGGCAAAAAAAGAATGAGACATGTATAGGCTCCTTAAGAGCATTTGACGATTTGTAAGTACTAAATTAATTAGTCTAAACAAATAAAGATAATTTTAATTTTGCTCTCTAAACACTCGACATTGGCAAAACCAGTGTGCTTCAAATTCGCACCATTGAAGCCATTAGACAGAATAATAATAATAATTTTGATTTTGTTCCTTTCAGCCAAATGACGTCCAATTTAGGGGGTGCGGGGAGTTTGATCTGAGCAATCCTAGCGCCATTATTGTATCGTGCGTGTGCACTCAAGAATAATTTAGCGTGTACCGATAACGCTCAAACATTAGCGGAAGAATGGTGGGGCGCGTCTTCGTGGAACATACGTCTTCCGATCGCTGTCGATTACAAAAACAAATCATCACCATCGTCATCATCTCAGCCACAGGACGTCCACTGCTGAACATAGGCCTCCCCCAATGCTTTCCATGTTACCCGGTTGGTAGCGGCCTGCGTCCAGCGCTTTCCTGCTACCTTTAAGATGTTGTCAGTCCACCTTGTGGGTGGACATCCCACGCTGCGTTTTCCGGTACGCGGCCTCCACTCCAGAACCCATCGGCCGTCAGTTAAAATAATAAAAAATAAAAATAAAATAAAAACCTTTATTACCAAAGATTACAATATACAGCTTACTAGTAGTCCCCAAACTACGTTCTATGTGCTAGTACTAGTTCTGCGTACTATGTGCCCTGCATATTGCCACTTCAGCTTGCTAATCCATCGGGCTATGTCAGCGACTTTAGTTTGTTTACGGATCTCTTCATACAAAAAGAAATATCACAATGGAAACGGGCACTAACACACACATGTGCCACTGTTTATACATAACTCCAGCCACACAACCTACTCTATCACAACTAGTTAAGGTTCATTTTCAATCGACACATCCTTTCATAACAGTTATCATTTGTCAAAGCGATCAGTTTTAGCACGTGCGTCTATCGATACGTAGTTGTTGTTACTGCAATATCGCTAATTTTTATATAAAAATCTGTATAATTCATATAAAAATCAGTCGCTTTTTGCCAGTTGGAGGTTGCAGTGAAGTTTGTAGTGGTAAAAAGTTTTTATGTCAGTGTTATAAGTTGACTAGTTACTTCATCAATCAAGGTTAGCAATAGGAAAACGGTAAGTCATTTATTTTGTTTACCTACTTCACTTAACGCGCCCATATTTAAATGGTGATCTAAACTTGACTCAAAGGGTTATGCCCACTTAGTATGGGACCTTTGGCCTGAGGTGGACAGACATTACAGCATGTAATTTGTTATTTATTAAATACTCTATACCAGTAAGAAACAGAATATAAATATCATTTTGTATCCAAGTCCTTAAAAAAAATTTTTTTTTNAAATGTTACTTGGGCTATTAGAGCTCCCGAAAAAAATGTGCTGCGATGCCGTTGACCGTTGATTTCTTTTGTGCCTTCGAAAGGTTCCAAATCCGCGACATGGAAGACGAGAACAAGGAGCAATGCCTGGATCTGATGCAGGAGACTTTCTTGAGGGATGAACCGCTCTGCAGGATATTGGGTAAGTTTTTCAATATTTAATAAACCCTGGAGTTGTCTGGAAGAGTTGTCTTCACAACCCCTAACTGTTCCTTAAGCAATGATGAGTAAAGAGAGGCGAGCAAGAAAAAACCGGCCAAGTGCGTGTCGGACTCACGCACAAAGGGTTCCGTACTATTGATTTATGATTTTTTTTTTAAAGTTATTTGTATGAAAGCTTAAGCGGTAATAAGCGGTTTACGATTTACGAGGTATTAAAAAAAACTACTTAGGTACTAGATCTCGTTCAAAACAATTTTCGTTGGTAGTTTTTATAGTAATGTACATCATAATAATATGTTTTTTTTTAGGTTTTTCATTATCATATTTTGCAACTTTTTTCCACTTTGGAAGCGTCTGTAACGCAAAATATTCGGTTTAGAAAAAACATATTTTAGAAACCTCGATATCATTTTTGAAGACCTATCCATAGATACCCCACACTTATGTTTAATGAAAAAAAATTTTTTGAGTTTCAGTTCTAAGTATGGGGAGCCCCCAATATTTATTATTATTATTTTATTTTTGCATCAAAATCTTAATGCGGTTCACAGAATACATCTACCTAACAAGTTTCAACAGTATAGCTCTTATAGTTTCGGAAAAATGGCTGTGACATACGGACCGACAGACGGATAGACAGACATGACGAAGCTATAGGGGTTCCGTTTTTTGCCATTTGGCTACGGAACCCTAAAAAGGTAATTAGAAAATAGATGCCGTGCGAGAGTGAGAAGAAAGACATTTATTCTTCTTTCAAATAGCGAGATTGAGACCAAAGCGATCGAGAGTAGAGAGAGAGCCAGAAAGATAAGTGAATGGTGAGAGAGACAGAGAGAGAGAGAGAGAGAGCGAGTAAAAATAGAGATCCACCTACTCCTTTTGCAAAATGCCAAGTATTTTAACAGACTCAAAAAAAGGTTTTTGACCCGTATGTTTCAGACATCAACTCGGACCCAACATCGATCCAGACCATCAGAGACAACTGGGAGGCGTACCTCTCTCAAGGAGTCAGCCTGGCGTGCTTCACGGAGGAGGACGGGAAGCCTGGCACTCTTGTGGGATTCAATATTGTGCTGGTGAAGAGTAAGGATGACCCTGAAGAGGATATGGAAAACGTAAGTAACGCAGCTTAAAATATCTTTGCCCGTTTGCCCGAGCCCATTTTTTGGAGGGCCGCTCTCGCTACTTCTCTGACCAGCAGAGCTGACAAAGCAGCGGTATAGAGGGGCCATAACCCGCTGCTGCGGACTGGGGGTCCTGTTTTACCCGGGCCACGAAGAGAAAACCTCCATAATAACTACTGGAGGAGGGAATTGGGGGTCCCCTCGAAGCCCGAGTGGCTCGCTCAAGAGCGGGCCATATCCTGAGACGGAGCTTTAACGAATTATAGCCGTTAGGAATAAAGACTCTTGTAGGTAAAAGGAGAAAATGCTAGATGCAGGCCGCTGCCAAACGGGCAATCTGGAAATCATTGGGGGAGGCCTGTATCCAGCGGTGGACTATTAAAGACTGTTGATGATGATGAAGTCATTATAATACTCTTGCAGGTAAAAGGCGAGTCCTGGAAGAAACTGCTCAAGACGTTAGTGGCTGCTGAGGACCTGGTAGACGTGTTTGATCACTACGGCGTGGACAGGTTTCTGACGTCGAGCGGGCTTACGGTTCTGCCGGAGTTTCGAGGGCAGAACATTGGCGGCAAGATATTTGCTGCTAGGTACGAATATTCCTTAACAGTATGAGAGTATGAGATCCAAGACGTTCGATCATCTGGCCCCTAGACAAAGTGACAATGACAGTTTTAATTCCGTGATCGCTTGCTCCGGTATTTTTTGTATGTAGGGACTTCTAAATCAAAACTTTCACGCATGTCACTTTCTCTACGAGTAGAATTATCCTGAAAACTGATGGACTTGCAACTTGTCGGTCTATGAACTTCATGACCTGATGACGCCATATTTACGTTTTTCATCGAGTTGCATTTTAATAACTCCTGAAATGTATTAACTAGGGATTGTCCTTCGCTACCCACTTCTCAGCACTAGCCGATATGTTGTCCCAAAGGGTGGTAGGGCAAGCTGTAGGTATATGGGACGTGGAAAGTGGCCTAAAAAGTCATAACATACTGATAAAGAATCAAACTTGACCTTCACTGGTTGGGTTTTTATTAGCGGTCAAGCTGTAAATACTGGCTACACAGGAGTTGCAGCGGTAGAAATAGTCCCGTAATAAAGGATTTTAATTTGTTTTCCAGAGAGCCTCTCTGCAAAGCCCTCGGCATCAAGGCTACAGCCACAGTCTTCACAGCCATGACCTCCCAAGTTTTGGCAGCCAAGTGTGGATATGAAGTCCTGGCCGAACTGCCCTACTCCGCCATGATGAAGCAGGGTATAGACCTGACCGACTGCGAGTGCAAGACTGCTAAGCTGATGGGCAGGAAGTTCACGTAGTTTTTATTTATACGGATAAAGGGAGAAGCACACTTATCAACCCGAAAACGGATCATAACCTTATCAGCTCGAGGCGGTCAGCATTCCTTGTATGAAACTCCGTACTGCAACTGCACACTTATACGCACTGTAAAGGCGATACGGTGTTGATCCCTTTCGGGTTGGTAAGTGTGCTATGACCTTTAGACACGCTGCAGATTACAGACTTTGATTAGACCGGTAGTTGGGTAAGCTTCCAATTTGTATTAGGAGTCGGCCGATACCAAATCGGTGTAACGGGACTATTCCCACCTCTCGTTCCCACCACTGCAACTCCTGTGTAGCCAGGATCTACAGCTTGACCGCCATAAAAACTCAACCAACAAAGGTCAAGTTTGTCCCGGGGGAAAGATAAACTGTCATTGGACCCGCAACGAAATTAATCAGAAGAACATAGGAGGAGTTCGAAATTAAGGTACGACTTCCCTCCATTGAAAAGCGGATGACAGGTGACAAACAAAGGTTTAAAACCTACCATACCAAATCGGTGTAGTGTGCGCACTTCCATACATGAACATGTTCATACTGATTAAACAGCCCGACCAAACTATCGGCCGACAAAAAGGCTGCAGGCCTTTGTCCAGCAGTGCAGTGGACGTCATTTGGCTGTAACGAACGATGCGGAGTGTCTAAGTCTACTTTGTACAACAATTAGGTACCAAGAGTATATACCAATAATTTAAACGTAAGACTTAAATAAATTAGACGCTTCCACCTTCGGCCTGATCATAACTATCCATCAGGTGAGATGCAGGCCAAGAGCTTACTTGTTGTGAATAAAAATAATAACAACTTGTCTGGATCATTGAGATATAACGTTCTGTAATATTACTTCAATGGTCTGGATGCGGACAGTGCAGGACCGGTTGTTGTGGAAATCCTTGGGGGAGGCCTTTGTCCAGCAGTGGACGTCAATTGGACGTCAAAACGAAGGAACATGTTTCTAAAAAAATTGAGCTTGCCTTATACTGGTACAATTTAACTTTTTGTTCAATCATGAGTAGAAGAAAGAAACCTTTTTGGAACCGTTATGAAATATTGGTAAACTTGTCGAAAATTTTCAAGTGTATTCGCTGAAAGGACAATGACCAAAAGTGGTCCATATGTCCACCACCAATGAGACCTACATTGGCTTATAGTCCATTAAATAGAGATTAACTTTCAGTATGGGACGAAAAAAAAATGGGACAATATTANGTAAAATATTTTTTTTGCTACAGTTTTTTGTCATAAGTATTTCAAAATTATTCAAAAAGTGTAGTTTTTTAAATTATTTAAATCACTACAGTTAATTATTATTTCTAAATATTACGATTTTCCATTAAAGAAGAATAACAGTGATGTTGGAACAATAAACCTTGATTTAAACGATGATCGACCGAGCGTGTATAGAAATACGCGTGTGCTCACAGGCGCGTCGTGGCGTCACGGCGCGTGGCGGTCCTGACTGATTTGCAACTTGAAGTTGTCGCGCGCTGTAGGTAATTATCTCGGCCGGCATAGGCGAGTGACGGAGGCCTGTCTATACTATCGATGTTTAGACAAATCTACACTTAGGTTTTTTGAGTCAATTCGATGGTCAAACAGATTTTATGAGACCTCTTTGTTTCAACCAAGTGCCGTACACAAAATAAAAATATTTTAGTCAAAGACCACTAGTGGCACTTATGAACGTCAAAAAACAGTAAAAGGTAGCCCTTAAGGGGCACTATACATGTCTCCTGGACAAAGTTCCTCCAAGGATATCCAAAACAATCGGTGCCGCTCTGCCCGCATCCAGGTGTTTCCCGCGACCTTTACCAGATCCCTTACTCAGTAGGTACCAAGATTAAGTACAATCAATTAGATAACAATACAAAGTGCGCTCACCAACAGTGATACCTTATCAAAGTATCAATGATTGATTATAACTTTATTTTTAGATCAATATGCCCTGGAAAAGACCAGACAGCGTCCCCAAAGGGCAAGTTTGGAGCACCTTCAAAGGTCGGGATAGGGATGGAAAACCTGGTCTATCGTAAGTATGTTTTAAGTACCCTCTTATTGCGGGAACTTCTATCATCATCATCATCATCATTTAAGGCTTACCACGATTCACGATAATCCGCTTCTTTCATCCAGTCGCTGGTTCTTCGAAAGGGTTTTGGTCAGTTCTATTTCGCACAGCTGCCTCCCCCTTCCCTGGAAACGGTGTTCCTCATACTTCGTCCCTAGATAATACTAAGTGCCTAAACACGAGGGACCCTGCCTAGAAATTCTAATTTGCTGGCACATTTATAAGATGCCCATGATGTAGGTCCATTATAGAACACACACGACAAAAAATTTCTACGTAAGGTACCTATTAGAGCTCCCGAGAAAAATATGCTGCGATGCCGTTGACCGTTGATTTCTTTTTTGCCCTCGAAAGGTTCCAAATCCGCGACATGGAAGACGAGTACAAGGAGCAATGCCTGGATCTGATGCAGGAGACTTTCTTGAGGGATGAACCACTCTGCAGGATTTTGGGTAAGTTTTTCAATATTTAATAAACCCTGGAGTTGTCTGGAAGAGAACGCTTCACAACCCCTAACTGTTCCTTAAACAATGATGAGTAAAGAGAGGCGAGCAAGAAAAAATCGGCCAAGTGCGTGTCGGACTCACGAAGGTTCCGTACCATTGATTTAAGAAATTATTATTTTTTTAAAGTTATTTGTATGAAAGATTAAGCGGTAATAAGCGGTTTACGATTTACGAGGTATTAAAAAAAACTACTTACTAGATCTCGTTCAAAACAATTTTCGTTTGTAGTTTTAATAGTAATGTAGGTACATCATATGTTTTTTTAGAGTTTTCATTATCTTATTTTGGAAATTAGAGGGGGGGGGGACAACTTTTTTCCACTTTGGAAGCGTCTGTAACGCAAAATATTCGGTTTAGAAAAAACATATTTTAGAAACCTCGATATCATTTTTGAAGACCTATCCATAGATACCCCACACTTATGTTTAATGAAAAAAAATTTTTTGAGTTTCAGTTCTAAGTATGGGGAGCCCCCAATATTTATTATTATTTTTTTATTTTTGCATCAAAATCTTAATGCGGTTCACAGAATACATCTACCTAACAAGTTTCAACAGTATAGCTCTTATAGTTTCGGAAAAATGGCTGTGACATACGGACGGACAGACGGACAGACAGACATGACGAATCTATAAGGGTTCCGTTTTTTGCCATTTAGCTACGGAACCCTAAAAAGATAATTAGAAAATAGATGCCATGCGAGAGTGAGAAGAAAGACATTTATTCTTCTTTCAAAATAGCGAGATTGAGACCAAAGCGATCGAGAGTAGAGAGAGAGAGCCAGAAAGACAAGTGAATGGTGAGAGAGACAGAGAGAGAGAGAGAGTGAGTAAAAATAGAGATCCACCTACTCCTTTTGCAAAATGCCAAGTAGGTATTTTAACAGACTCAAAAAAAGGTTTAAAGTTTGACCCGTATGTTTCAGACATCAACTCGGACCCAACATCGATCCAGACTATCAGAGACAACTGGGAGGCGTACCTCTCTCAAGGAGTCAGCCTGGCGTGCTTCACGGAGGAGGACGGGAAGCCTGGCACTCTGGTGGGATTCAATATTGTGCTGGTGAAGAGCAAGGATGACCCTGAAGAGGATATGGAAAACGTAAGTAACGCAGCTTAAAATATCTTTGCCCGTTTGCCCGAGCCCATTTTTTGGAGGGCCGCTCTCGCTACTTCTCTGACCAGCAGAGCTGACAAAGCAGCGGTATAGAGGGGCCATAACCCGCTGCTGCGGACTGGGGGTCCTGTTTTACCCGGGCCACGAAGAGAAAACCTCCATAATAACTACTGGAGGAGGGAATTGGGGGTCCCCTCGAAGCCAGAGTGGCTCGCTCAAGAGCGGGCCATATCCTGAGACGGAGCTTCAACGAATTATAGCCGTTAGGAATAAAGACTCTTGTAGGTAAAAGGAGAAAATGCTAGATGCAGGCCGCTGCCAAACGGTCAATCAGGAAATCATTGGGGGAGGCCTGTATCCAGCGGTGGACTACTTAAGACTGTTGATGATGATGAAGTCATTATAATACTCTTGCAGGTAAAAGGCGAGTCCTGGAAGAAACTGCTCAAGACGTTAGTGGCTGCTGAGGACCTGGTAGACGTGTTTGATCACTACGGCGTGGACAAGTTTCTGACGTCGAGCGGGCTAACGGTACTGCCGGAGTTTAGAGGGCAGAACATTGGCGGCAAGATATTTGCTGCTAGGTAAGAAAGAATTAAGAATATTCCTTAATACTACGAGACCCATGACGTTCGATCATCGCGGCCCCTAGACAAAGTGACAGTTAGTTGTAATTCCGTAATCGCTTCGCATCGCTCAGGCATTTTTTTTATTGAGCGAGCGACTCACTGCGGCCGCCCGTCGCACAGTCGCGACAGCAATATAATTACGTGCGAGCGATAAGGATGGGTAGCTTGGGGTCATTGGACGAAATTCTACGTGCTCGGCGACCGGACTATAGATTAAAACATCACGACACACTTTGTTACTTTCTCTACGAGTAGATTACACAATGGACTTTTAATAATTTTAAAATCTAGGTATAAATATAGACGGTCTATTCCGTTACCGACCTGATGACGTCATAATTCCTTTTCCATCGAGTCGCATTTTAACAGGTCCTGAAAATATGTTGTAACTACCTATATGTTGCCCCGAAGTGGTGGTAGGGCAAGCTGTAGGTATATGGGACGTGGATATTACCCAGAAAAGGTCCTCCTAACATACAGATAAAGAATTATCTTCTGGATAAATTGGACCTTCACTGGTTGGGTTTTTATTGGGAGTCAAGCTGTAGATCCTGGCTACACAGGAGTTGCAGTGCAGCGGTAGTAATAGTCCCGTAATAAAGGATTTTAATTTGTTTTCCAGAGAGCCTCTCTGCAAAGCCCTCGGCATCAAGGCTACAGCCACTGTCTTCACAGCCATAACCTCTCAAGTTTTGGCAGCCAAGTGCGGGTATGAACTCCTGGCCGAACTGCCCTACTCCGCCATGAAGAAGCAGGGTATAGACCTGACCGACTGCGAGTGCAAGTCTGCCAAGCTGATGGGCAGGAAGTTCACGTAGTTATTTATATCAACTCGAGGCGGTCAGTATTCTTTGAATGAAACTCCGTACTGCAACTGCACACTTCGTTCGTTCGTTCGGTTCAGCCAAATGACGTCCACTGCTGGACAAAGGCCTCCTCCAAGGCTTTCCACAATGCACGGTCCTGCGCTGCCCGCATCCAGGCTCTTCCCGAGCTCTGCTCTCTTCTGGCTCTTCTTCTTCTTGACCCCTTTCGGATTGGTAAGTGTGCTATGACCTTTAGAAACCCCGTAGATTACAGACTTTAAGTAGACCGGTAGTTGGGTAGGCTTTCAATTTGTATGAGGAGTCGGCCGATACCAAATCGGTGTAACGGGACTATTCCCACCTCTCGTTCCCACCGCTGCAACTCCTGTGTAGCCAGGATCTACAGCTTGACCGCCAATAACCCAACCAATGAAGGTCAAGTTTGTCCCGGGGGAAAGTTAAGCTGTCATTGGACCCGCAACGAAATTATTCAGAAAAACATAGGAGTTCGAAATTAAGGTTCGACTTCCCTCCATTTCAAAGCGGATGACAGGTGACAAACAAAGGTTTAAAACCTACCATACCAAATCGGTGGTGTGCGCACTTCCATACATGAACATGTTCATACTGATTAACAGCCCGACTAAACTATCGGCCGACAAAAAGGCTGCAGGCCTTTGTCCAGCAGTGGACGTCATTTGGCTGAAACGAACGATGCGGAGTGTCTAAGTCTACTTGTAAAACAATTACCAAGAGTATATACCAATAATTTAAACGTAAGACTTAAATAAATTAGACGCTTCCACCTTCGGCCTGATCATCACTATCTATCAGGTGAGATGCAGGCCAACGCCAAGAGCTTACTCGTTGTGAATTCAAAAAACTTGTCTGGATGTGGACAGCGCAAGACCGGTCGTTATGGAAATCCTTGGGGGAGGCCTTTGTCCAGCAGTGGACGTCAATTGGCTGAAACGAAGGAACATGTTTCTAAAAAAATTGAGCTTGCCTTATTCTCGTACAATTTAACTTTTTGTTCAATCATGAGTAGAAGAAAGAAACCTTTTTGGAACCGTTATGAAAATAATATTGATAAACTTGTCGAAATTTTCAAGTGTATTCGCTGAAATTCAGCATCGTTGTATCAATGCAAGTAACTTCTAACTGTATTAATGTATGGGCAGTAGCGGCGTCCGCCGGTCCGCCCCGGGTGCCAAGCATCAGGGGGTGACACAAGTCGCGCAGATTAGTACTCACTGGCACATCTGCATGGCAAATCTGCGGTCTATGTCATGATACGCGATTTCAATCTTCGAATCGGTAGGTAACCCCAAAGGGTGGTACCAGGGGGTGCCTTAAGACTTATGACGGGGGGGTGATCGCCCCGGGTGCCAACCCATGCTACGCCGCTTTGTATGGGCAGGTCCCTTTCCCACTGGGAAATTTTATTTTTGCTTTGAGAAAAATGCTCAATAAAACCCGGTCGAGTAACTGCGCAGCTGGTAGCAGTGACGTCACATCGACGCTCTGGTATGGACGCGACTTACCCCACCCAAGTGGAAGGGAGAGTCGCATTCCAGCGAAGTGTGCAGTTAGCTCGGGTTGTACCCCCAGTAGGTAAAAGTTGGCTTTGTGTATAGACATGATGTGTACTTTCCTTAACTTAAACTTAATAAATATAAATTAAATATTAAGATAAATAAATATTTTTTGATACATTTATTTATTAATGTCTTTTATACACTTACAAAGTATAAATGCTATAAAATCACGTTTAGTATAAATAATACATTGTTGTAATAAAAAATATATCGACACCAAAAAATGCACCATTTTCTATCTATACAATAAGACTTTAGTAACTTTTCGGTATATTTTCAAGTTTTGAACATTTTATTTGAAACAAGCATTTTTTAAAAGCCTCATTATCGCTTGTAGACAAACTGACATTCGATTTCGATTAGAAATAGTCTAAAAAAGTTATTTTGCGCATTTAATGGTTAAATAGTGAACTGTTTACACAAATATACAATATTAAACTTAAGTATATTTTTAAATAAACTATATTACTGTTTATATTTTACTAAATAAGAAAAAATAAAGTATTTTTGAGTATACTATGTATTTTGACTAACCCTGTGATAAAAAGAGAGACAAAATATTTCACAAAATAAAACCTACGAACGGCAGCAAATCAAGCCAATATTATCTAGTTGTATAGATCTAAAGCCCGGCTTATACAGGGTGTTAGGTAAATGGGTATATGAGCCGACACTAACCCATGTTAACATGGGCATATAAATGGTATGCTGAAGTCAGAAAATTGATATTTTCATTTTAATTAATTTTAATTTTCATAAAAATCGGTTTTTATAAAATTTATTTTGTATGAAAATTAAAAAAAATACAATGATGCTATCAAATTTCTGACTTCACCATACCATTTATATGCCCACGTTAACATGGGCTAGTGTCGGCTCATATACCCATTTACCTAACACCCTGTATATAGATATGCTATACAATTTTGTTTCAAAATAGTACCCATTAAAGATCTAAAATTAGACCTATAATGGGTACTATTTTGAAACAAAAATGTATAGCATGATGTACTGTCACCTTTACTAGCGTTTTTATGACGTTTGAACGCTGCGTTTAAGTCGCACAAAAATCGCAAATCTTAATTTCTTTTTGAAAAATATAGCCTACCTTCTGTCGCAGTCGGGTAAAAAGGGAATGTATTTACTTTGTCTTTTATACAATAAAGGAAATATTTAAAGAATATGATGATTAATTTCAATATAAATAAATGCTTTGGTCTTATAAAATTCAATATAAAACACATATTTAATCTTATACTTCTACTTTTAGTATTTTTTGTCATTTATTTGTTACAGGCAAGATAGAATTTTGTTTGAAGTTTAGTGCTTTTTAGTAATTTTAAATAATCTCATCTTTTAGAATAAATAAATCTCAATAAATAAAGCCACTAAAGTCCGGTCGCCGAGCACGTAGAATTTCGTCCAATGACCCCAAGCTACGCTCGCACACTCACTACGGTCGCCTGTTGCACAGTCGCGACAGCAATATAATTACGCGCGAGCGATAAGTAAGGGTAGCTTGGGGTCATTGGACGAAATTCTACGTGTTCGGCGATCGGACTTTATCTGCATATCTTTTTAGCTTGCTCCGTATAAACGAATATAAATCTTATTGCATGAACATTAAATGCTATTTTCCATAATTAAACTATCTGCATCTCTCTCTAGTTTGCTTTGTGTAAACGAATATAAACCTTATTACAAAGACATTAAAGGTCATCAAATACTTAAGCGACACTAGCGCTACACGCCTCCAGCGGCGGGAACTAGAATTACTTTAGAAAATTGTTATTATTTTTACACTACGCACTTTCACAAACTACGTTGAACACAGCAGTGTCTACAGGGTGTTTATTTTAAAGATGAATGGTTGGCCAAACGTACTAAATAAATATCATTATTTTCTTTCTTTTAAATTAGCAGAAATTGCGGAAAACGTTGAGAAAAGTCTCTAGCATCAATGGAAAAAGTCGTACATATTTGTATTTTTTGCAACTAGGCTTTTATAAAACGCTTTTACGCAATCAGTAGTTTTGTTTTTAAAAGGAATTTAGGTAGAAATTGCATAATATTTCTACTCTTTAGTTAGAAATTTCATAGTTGGCCAACCTCTTATATTTAAATAAACACCCTGTATATTTAATACTTATATAAATATAAATACCAATTATTATAATCTTTCTACATTTAATAGTTAATACATCTGGCAATATATTATTATAAGGAGGACTTACTCCTGTATTTTTGATATTTTCAATTGATAAACTGAGGTAAATAAACTTTGAAATAACCTCTTACTACTTTAACACAATTAATAAGAAAGAAATACTACTTATCAAATTCAAGGTTTCAAGAACTTACCTTGAAGGACTCTGAAAACTGACAATATTTGACATCATCTCAGGCTCTTAAAACACTCAAAACCCGATTTAAAACGTATGTCTCTTGACTTTAGATTCATATTGGAGTGTCATTCTACACAGGCCTAAATTCTTTATAGTTCGCCCAGCGAGAGTTGAGGCATCGATACAAACAAAGATTCGTATCTGTATACGCTTGCCGCGTTGACGTCTTGCGCAGTCTGACTGACAAGTGCTTTCTATCTCACTTGCACACATATAGCATACCTTTTCTTAAAGGTTATTAAACCTTTATTTGTCACCTGTCATCCGCTGTGCAATGGAGGGAAGTAGAATCTTAACTTCGAACTCCTTCTATGTTCTTCAGATTAATTTCGTTGCGATTCCAGTGACAGTTTAACTTTCCCCCGGGACACACTTGACCTTCACTAGTTGGATTTTTGGCGGTCTGCTGTAGATCCTGGCTACACAGGAGTTGCAGCGGTGGGAACGAGAGGTGGGAATAGTCCCGTTGCACATATAGCAATAGCGATGCGATGTAGCTGGTGTATTCGATATTTGAAATTGAAGTATAATGTCTTGAGTGTTCTGCATTAAAATTTTACATCAATGTTTATGTTTGCCTCAACTTTCACCGCGCGATCTACAATATACACGATATCCAGTTAAAGATAGAAGCACCAAACCTATAGCTGTCCTTGTCTACCTCCTAAGCTTCTCGTTCAGCCATTCGGAGGTGAGCTCGTCTATCTCTCTCACCTCCAACAGACGCGGCGCGCCGACGGCCGCTGCTAGCGCCCTTTGCGTTCCTGCGTACATTACCTGTGACCAAAACAGGAACAATGAGGGCTATCGTTTTTATACTTAACAGTTGGCACCCCTGGCGATTGACAGGACCTTACTCTACAGTGGCGCCATCTTGATGAGTGCAAATGCGATAGTCCTCCTACCACTTTAGCGCTCACCAGTTGGCGCCACTGTCTTCGCTACTAGCAAGTGACAGGACCTTACTGTACAGTGGCGCTAACTGGTGAGCGCTAAAACGATAGCCCTCATTGGTTGACATCACACTACTATTTAAAGCCCGGTCTCCGAGCACGTAGAATTTTGTCCAATGACCCCAAGCTACCCATCCTTATCGCTCGCGCGTAATTATATTGCTGTCGCGACTGTGCGATGGGCGCCCGCAGTGAGTCTGTGAGCAACATAATTACGCGCGAGCGATAAAGATGGGTAGCTTGGGGTAATTGGACGAAATTCTACGTGCTCGGCGACCAGACTATAGAAACTACACTCCATCTAACCAAGATTACTTCTACTTCAACTTAATTAGGTACACCAGGCCATCTTGGAAAGCTATAAATACACAATTTCAGACTGTTTTTAGCAGGATTAGCAAGCTGACGCGGGTGCAATGGGCAGGGCACATAGTTTGTCTTGAAGTG